CACTGGTACCACTGCCTTTTGGATGCAAACCATAGAGCTTAATCTTAAGAAATGCACCTGGGAGCATCTCTGTCAATTAGTAGTGGACCGATTTGACAGGGATCAATTTAATCAGTTTATTCGCCAATTTTTCCATGTCAAGCAAACTGGAACTGTGGTAGAATATATCACTCTGTTTGATGATCTCATGCATCAGTCGCTTGCTCATGACCCACTCGTTAATCCTGCTATACTCACTGGCAAATTCATAGATGGTCTGAAACCTGAAATTAGAGCAGCTCTTTTATTACACAAACCAAAAGACCTCGATACTGTGAGCTCTCTTGCCATTTTGCAGGAAGAAATACTAGCTGGACCGGCCGTTCGTGATTTCAAAAAACTGGACAGTTCTGTCTCTCACAAAGCTGTCGTCAGGGCCACAACACCTTCTGGGACAGTTCCAGCTCAGCCTTGGATTGCTAAACCACCAGCTTCCGAACCAGTTGCCAAGCCTGATGAGAAACTATCTGCACTGATGACTTACAGGAAAGCTAGAGGACTCTATTTCAAGTGTGGTGGTAAATGGGGACCTCAACACAAGTGTCCAGCTACCGTTCCATTAAATGTCATAGAAGAAGTTTGGCACTTCTTGGGAACCTCTGCTGATTGTTCTAATGAATCTACTTCTGATTCAGATCCTGATGAATTGATAGCTCTTTTTGACCAGGCTGTTAAAGGCACTTGTGCAGCTCACACACTGAAGATTCATGCTTATATTCATCAGAAACCTGCTATTATTCTTGTAGACTCTAGAAGTTCTCACAACTTCATTAGTGAGCACATGGCAGCTGATTTGCATCCCTGGACTCCCTTAAAACACTCTATGTCAATCAAGGTAGTTGATGGTGCCACCCTTGTCTGCTCCCATGAGGTGGTCAATTGCTCTTGGACAGTCCAAGGAGTCATGTTTACTACAGCCTTCAAAATTCTTCCTCTGCAGTGCTATGATGCTATATTAGGCATGGAATGGCTTGAAACTTTTAGTCCTATGCAAATTCAATGGAAGGAGAAGCGGCTTAGTTTCAACCACCAAAATTCTACTATTCGGCTACATGGGGTTCAAGATGTTGTGGCTACTGTTAATGAGATAACTTTGAATCAGCTCATAGCAATGGAGAAACAAGATTTAGTTTGGGGTATTGTGGAGATATATTCTGCTGAACAGCCTGCTGAACCAGTTGCACAAACATTACCACCTGAAATTCAGGAGTTAGTTACTCAGTTTGCTGACTTATTTGACGAGCCTTCTGGTACTCGTCTCAACAGCACTCACATATTCCATTCCTTTGGTTCCTGGTGTTCAACCCTTCAGACTTAAACCATACAGATACACTCCATCTCAGAAGGACGAGATTGAAAAGCAAGTGGCTCATTTGCTGAAATCCAACATGATATAAGAGAGTACCAGTCCATTTGCATCTCCTGCCCTATTGGTAAAAAAGAAATCTGGTGAATGGTGACTCTGTGTTGACTATAGAAGGCTCAATGCTTATATAGTCAAAAATAAATTTCCTATGCCCATTGTTGAAGAACTTTTTCAGAAACTTTATGGAGCTACATGGTTCACCACATTAGACTTAAGGTCTGACTTCCACCAAATCTTAGTAACTCCTGAAGATCAGTACAAGACAACATTTCAAACACATCATGGCCACTATGAATACTTGGTCATGCCATATGGTCTCATAGGTGCTCCAGACACCTTCCAATCTATTATGAATCATGTTTTAGCTCCACTAGTGAGAAAATGTGTCGTGGTGTTTATTGATGACATATTGATTTATAGCAAGACATATACAGAACATGTACAACATGTACAGCTAGTTTTCCAGTTGCTCCAGAACCATCAGTTCAAAGTCAGATTATCTAAGTGCTCATTTGCCCAGCAAAAACTCTCTTATTTGGGTCATGTTCTCAGTCCTAATGGAGTTTCTACTGACCCAACCAAAATTAGAGATGTTCAGACTTGGCCTTCACCACAATCTGTCAAAGATGTCAGGAGTTTTTTGGGTTTAGCCGGCTATTATAGGCAATTTGTGAAGAACTTCGGTATGATAGCCAGGCCAGTTACTGATCTTCTTAAAAAGGGCAAGGTTTTTCTCTGGACTGCTATCTGTGAAGAGGCTTTTCAACTGCTCAAGAAGTCTCTGGTGTCTGCTCCAGTTCTTGCACTTACCAATTTTGCAAAGCTATTTGTCATTGAAACAGACGCATCTGAAACAGGCATAGGGGTAGTTTTGCAACAAGATGGACATCCAATCGCTTACGTCAGCAAAGCTTTGGGGTCCAAGACACAAGGGTTGTCCACCTATGAGAAGGAAAGTTTGGCCATTTTGCTGGCCATAGATCAATGGAAGGCTTATTTGCAACCTACAGAGTTTATCATCCATACCAATCACAAGAGCCTCACCCACCTCTCTGATCAGAGACTTCATACGTATTGGCAACAAAAAGTTTTGACAAAGTTGATGAGTTACCAATATAAGATCGGTTACAAGAAGGGCACCACCAATTCTGCCGCCGACGCCTTGTCACGAGCTCCACATCCTGTTGCTGATCTCAATGCTATTACTGTGGCTCAACCTCTGTGGCTTCCAAACTTATAGCTCAGTTACGACTCAAATACAATTGCACAAAAGATGTTAAGCTCACTAGCTCTACAAAATCCCTCGGGCAACTTCAGTCTGTAGCATGGTATCATCAAATACAAAGGGGTTATTTGGTTGGGGCACTCCACTGAGTTTCAGACTAAGGTTACTGAACAGTTGCATGCTACCCCCATCGGTGGTCATTCTGGGTTCTTGGTCACTTACCATAGAGTGAGTAAACTATTCTACTGGCCACATATGAAGACCAATGTCAAAGTTTTTGTATCGGAATGTGTTGTCTGTCAATAGGCCAAAACTGAACGTGTTCCTTATCTTGGATTGCTCCAACCTTTGCCGGTGCCATCTCAGGCATGGACTGTGGTAACCATGGACTTTATTGAAGGTCTCCCAATTTCGTCAGGCTATAACTATATCTTAGTGGTGGTCGACAAGTTCTCGAAGTATTCTCACTTTGTGAAGCTGAAACATCCTTTTTCTGCAATCACTGTGGCTCAACAGTACATGGAACATATTTACAAGCTACATGGTATGCCTACAGCCATAGTCTCAGACAAGGATAAAATTTTCACTAGTCTTCTGTGGAAGGAGTTATTCAAGCTCACCGGTACTCAACTGTGCATGAGTTCAGCTTACCATCCGCAAAGTGATGGACAGACCGAGTGGGTCAATCAGTGTATTGAAACTTATCTCTGATGTTTTATACAAGACTACCTCACAAATGGTCACGGTGGTTGCACTTGGCGGAATTCTGGTATAATACCTGCCACCATTCTTCTTTGCAACATTCACCGTTTGAGGTGTTGTATGGTCATCAACCCAACCACTTCGGCATTGACCCGGATAAGATTGTGTCATTCCAGATCTTGACCAGTGGCTTCAACAGAGGAAATCTGTTCATTCCATCCTTCAGCAACATCTGTTGCGTGCCCAGCAACGGATGAAGCACCAAGCTGATAAACACCGCAGTGAACGTGAGTTTCAGGTGGGTGACCGTGTCTGGCTCAAGCTTCAACCATATGTTCAAGGCTCAGTTGCCTCTCGGGTTAGCCCCAAACTCTTTTTTAGATACTTCGGGCCATATGAAGTGGAATCTAAAATTGGTGCTGTTGCCTACAAGCTGAAACTACCTCCAGGCTCTTCAGTGCATAATGTTTTCCACGTCTCACTCCTGAAGCCTGTCAAAGGTACCGGTGCTATTGCCTTCTCACCATTACCTGCAGATATTCCTCCTGTGCAGACTCCACATTTGGTCTTGGATCGCCGGACAGTTACAAGAAACAACCGTATCTATCATCAATTGTTGATCAAGTGGGTGGAGTCAAGTTGAGATGGCCACCTGGGAAGATGAAGATGATTTGATCCAGAGGTTTCCAGAGTTCACGGCTTGGGGACAAGCCGTTGCTAATGGAGGGGGTGATGTCACGGTCTGGCCAGTTGACAAGTCGCCAAGCCTGAGAAGCCCAAAGCTGAAGAGGGAGAGGAGGCCCAGTACAAGATATGCTGGCCCAGAATGGGTGACCAGCAGGCCCGTTGCATCGGGTGAGCCTGCTGTTCCCACAACAGCTGTAAGCCTGGAGTAGAAAAGGGGAACGGGAAAAGCTAGTTCGTTCGTCTTGGTTGGCGTCGGACTTAGGCGGCGAGCTGCGGCTCGAGAAAGCCGGCGACCTCCATTTCCACCGACCTCTGTATCCAGTCACTAAACCGTTGAATCCTAAATAGAACTATCGTAGCTACCTCTGTCGTTACAACATATGGTTTTATCAAGTGCATCTTTTTTCCCCTAACATTTAATTTAATTACTGATACAATCAAACCATGGATAGGTTCTCCACTGACATGAACCATATATAAAAGCGACATTCATCCTTGTTTTTATATAGTACATAGCTGTCATCTCAAGTCATTACAAATAATTATATGCCGGTCAATCCGTAGCTGGCAAATTAAATCTCACTCGGAGGCTCACACACAAAGCACACAACACATGCATGGGAGCACACAGCACCAGCAGGGAGATTGCATGCATGAGGATCTCATCAGAGCAAGGTGTAGTACATGCATCCACGCCTAGCTTGTTCTCTGCTCAATGCTCATGCCTGCCGCTGGAGCTGATGACGACTGTGATCTCCTTGTTTATTTATTTATATATGTATGTATACATTCCTCACAAAGCGTACGAAAACCAAACAGAAGCCATGGCAGCATATACCATATAGTAAAATAAAGATGCTGGGCACACACAAGGTAGCTAGCATCCATCCATGTCACACGAAATGAATAAATCAGGCAAAATAAGTAGAAAAAAGACGACACAACACGCTAGTAACCACAGCACAAGCAAACACACAGAGCTCAGAGCCAGCCATAAGACCTGAAGAAAGCAGCACACAGAAGAGTAATTAATCATCCCTTCCTCTCCTGTACGTGTGTGACGAACCATGCACAGATCCATACCCAGATATCCATTGAGAGGATTACTACCTACAGGAACAGGAAGGAAGGGGAATAAATTAATGCGTCAGTGATGATCCAGTGCTGAAAGATATCATGTACGTACCACACAAATAAATCAAATTTGTAGGCAATTAACAAAGTTTTTGATCCATATAAAAATAAAATAAAGCTATAGTAGTGGCTGGGTCAATGCAGCATGCAGCAACTCAAACGAACAAATAACAATTAAGGAAAAAACAGAAGGAAGGAGGCTAGCTACTTCATGGTTCACCTGAGTACGGACGCTCTCAGCAGGCTCCTCTTGTGGTACGCGGAGTGGCACGGCTTGTAGCGGGAAGGGTGGTGGCCGAACTCTTTCCCGCTCCCACTCAAAGCTATCCCACCAGTCCTTCTCACAGTCCACCGTTGGCAGCGTCTGGGCCTCCTCCTCGTCAGATTCAGAGTTGTCTGACGATCCTGCGCTATCCAACAATTCTGCCTCATCAGCTGGAGTGCCTCGTCTATGACGACGACGAGTGGGTCGTCGAACGGCCGGCATGCGCTTGAGGTTCCAGCAGCCCCTAATCTTCACAGTCTCGAGGTTAGGCGCCAACATATGGTGCCCGTAGATGTGCTGTAGCATGGGTAGCTCATACAGATGGATGCCCTTCAGCCTCGGGAATTCTCTAGGTTCTTGCTGCTGCACTTCTAGATCAGATGGAAAAATCTCCCTTAGTTCACCACAGCACACAATCTCGATGGTTTCCAAGTTATGACATCCTCTTCCATTTGATGCGTATAAGGGGAGCACATGTAATAGTCTGGGACAGCCATCCAGGTGCAAGAATATAAGATTCTCAAAGGAAGCACCACCCGGGCGAAACAATGCTTTGCTCCAATCCCATATATAGCGAGCCTTTAGAAGCTGGGATGCCCAGAATGTCGCTAGATACCCAAAAATGTCGTCTTCATCCTCCCGTACAGAAGGAGGAGCGAAAACAGAGCCTTCTAAGCCATGGCATCTCTCGAGTCGGCACCATAGTAGGTTATCCCAATCTAAACTTATTGTAGTAGGCGGTGCAAGGTCAGGGATATTGGTGATGGATAAGTTGTCATGCAAGTGCAAGGTCTTGGCTCCCTCATGCACAATACATGGCAGAGCAATCCTAGTATGTTGTTTGGTAGTACTAGTAGTGCTCCGCAACGGTTGGGTTGGTGTCTCATCTTGTATGCTAATGTAGCAGTGGGCCCAACAAGAAATCTGTAGGAATAGGTGGGCATGGCCACATCCATATGATCGTTGGAGCATCAATATCAACATCTCCTCCATTGGCACCAATAATTTTGGAATTCTTTCAAGGTGGAAATGATGTCACCCATGTACAAATTACCAGTAGCCTTTTGTAAGCTTATGGCTGGCACCTCTAGTTCATTGACGCTGCAAGTAGTGTCATTGACTCTTCGAGTGATACCTTTGTGACCACCAGTAGAAGAAATCTCGACATGTAAGAAATTTACAAGTTCAATGCACCGAAGTGATCGAAAAAGCCTTGGATCCCTCAAGGAAATATATGAATCTGAGTAGGCCAATGATTTGTTGTTGCCATGCATTGCTATCGACTGTGACTCTATACTTGTAAAGTCACCACTAGTAGAATCTTCATTCTTGGAGGCATCTTCCCTGGCCCATGTTATATGGGTGGTGTCAATGCGCAACACCTCTAACTTTATCTTCTTGTTTTCCTCATGTGGCCGTAGTATTGCATGGAGCTTCTCACATCCCAAAAGAAAGATTAGCTTGAGGTCTTGGGCTTGAATCGCACTGAGGTCAAGGGTTTCAACTAATGTACCTGACATGTTCAGCTCCACAAGGCTACCAAACTGTCCTATAAGCAACATGGATTTCAATTTGACCCATCCCCAGAAGGAAATCTTCTTTATCCTTGTGGCGACAATATTGTTGGTGAAGGAAAATGACTCTAGTGATGGGGGCAAAGTGTTGCATTCAATTTCTTCTAGCTCACCACAACCATCAATGATGATAGTCTTAAGGATGTGCCAGTTTGACAGGTCTGGGGATGATGAAACATGATCTCTATCGTCAGTGGCACTAGTAATGCCATAGTCCTTAGATGATCTGGTTAACACATGGGTTGACTTGACTACCTCATCTTCTTCAAATGACTCTGTAGCCTCTACCACTCGAAGCTTGAGCATCCTACTTTTGGAACCTCTACAATGATGTAGATACATCATGCTCCTATTGTCTGCTCCTTTTACATTCAACTCCCTAAGTTCAACCATTAGATCCAACATCTCTTTCGATAGCAACCAATACCAGTTTGTGTAACTTAGCTCTAGTACCCACAAATTTCGAAAGCATGTTCTAATGTCTTGGCTGCAACCCTCTTTTTCACCATCATGTGGTGCAAGGTTTGTGTCTTTGTAATGGTCAAGCAGGAGGAACCTTAGGTTGATGCAACTTAGGAATGGGGGAGATGAATAGCTGAAGATGCAGCCGGAGAGATGTAACACTCGTAGCTTGCTCATGTATGATTTTTAAACATGCTGTCTACTGATATCCTATTGTCAAAAGAGAATAAGGATGTTGGGACTTCTGCTGCTGCTTCATCTTGGCTAGTGAGTGAAACCCAGTGTCGTTCACTCTGCCTCCACTTTTTGTCTCTTAATACTTCATATAAATTAACCATCGAACTCATAGACAAATCTAAATTCATGTTCCTATGCAAAGCATCACCGATCTCCCATGCCGATCTACCATAATCATTGGCATCCTCTATGATTCCATCACATACCTAATAGTTGGCTGCATGAATGCCCTAGTTTATGTTGTAGTGTCCTCTTAGCACCCTGTACAAGACGCATTCCAAGACAATCTTACTAGAGTCAGGTTCAAGAACACCACTGTACCTAGCAAATTCCTCAGCATCAGCATGTAGGAAGCGAAAGAAGACATTAATGACTTCATTCTTATCAATAAAACTTTGCGGGCCAACCGATATGAACACATCACTCAACCCAGCTAACTTCTCCATCTCAACCTCCTCAAGTGCATCATCACGGAGCATGAAATTGCCCGCCTGAGAGGCCCACAACACCCTCTTGCTCATAACACCCATGACAGGGACACCACATTCCCATAGATCCACATAGTTGCCACTCCCATTGTGGAACACCACAAGGAATTTACAATTGCTAAGTTCGTTCAAGATTGTCCACTTGACATGCGGAATCACACCTCTAGCAGCCTGCTCCACCCCCGTCAAAGTCATCCTCCTCATCACCCTGGTCAAAGAATGCCATCACCTCATGGGGAAGCCTTAGCTTCTCCGCAATTGCCTTATGCAACGACCTCTTGTTTTGCCAAAGTGAGCAATCGATGTGGATGATCTTGCCCAAGCCTGCTTCTTTCCTACTAGCAGCCTCTGATAGTGGTGATCTAAGTTGTTTGACGAGCGCTTTGAGGATGGCAGATGCCCCTAGCCCCATTCCAGCAAACCAGCCATGCAAATATATCACACCCCACTGTCTTGTATGTTCCAGAAAGCCAATTATCTCCTTCGCCGCAACATCAATATTATCTGCTTTGATTGTGATCCCCTGCAATATTGATTACTAATAAATAATTAACACTTCTGGTGAATCAATAGTACTATATATACGAGTGCTAGCGGCTGCAGCATGATGTGGGTTATTATTCGATATGCATTTATCATATTGCATTGTACAAATCTATATGCCCTTTGTCGTAGATGGAAGTTGTACAAAACTAAATGGGGCTCTTGTGTTCTTGCTCCTACTTTGATGTGCAATTGTGATTTTGCCCTCGTTTTTTTTAACTTTGTGATTTTGCCCTTCGCTACGAGCAAGTCAATGCGATTTTGCCCCTAGTCAACGGTCAAAACAGGGGCAAATTCACAAAGACCAGGGTCAAAATCGCATTGACTTGCTAGTAGCGAAGAGCAAAATCACAAAGTTAGAAAAACGAGGGCAAAATCATAATTGCACTTCAAAATAAGGGGCAAGAACACAAAGAACACAAACTAAATATATGCCTTATGTCATAGAGATGGAGGAATGTTTTGTGGTGTCTACAAGAGGCAAATGTCGCAAACTTTATTACACTATAAAAGAGCGAGTTTTTTATGGGGTGGGGCTAACCCTCTTTCATAACCGTTTGATTTTGACACCGTTTCATATGAGCATTCCGTCGTCCGAGATCTTACTCTCCCTCATTAATAACCGTTCGATCTAGACGCCGTGTCATATGAGCCTTTCATCGTCCACGATTTTACATTACCCCACGCGCCCACTCAATCCCTTGGTCACGTACGCCTGCGCAACAACTTAATCACAAAGCTCGACTCCCTCTCGGTCACAGCTAGCACCTAACCGTGTCCTACCCAGCCATCATGCATAACCTTTCTATATACACACGTATAAGGACCTGAAGGTAGGCAGGAGCTAGCGGGCCTAACGCTTTCTGGAAGACTAATTGCGTCGATCTAATTGCAATGTACGATGATTGGCTTCTGTGCAGCCGGGCTGTTAGTAATAGTCTCAAAAGCAAGAGATAATTACTTCAGAATTTTATATTCATATATAATTTTGACAATATACACAAAAATATTTAAGAAATGTTATTAATCGAAACAAAATGAAAAATGCTTGAGAAAAAAAAACTTCTAAAGAGGATTAATTTTTAAAAATTCTAAAGAGAATTTATTAACCTAGAATAGATTCAAAGACACGTGCGTGTGGCACGTGCATACCTACTATTGTTATAAACTCTCTTCTAGAAACTATATAAATAAAACTATTTCAGTTTGCCACATGAAAATTAACATCAATAAAATTGAACTTTTTTCATAAAAAAATTAGCATGTTCATAACTTTTAGGTAGTGTAAGTTACGTAGTGCAAAAAAAAAATACAAATTTCGTCACTAGGCACTTGACCTAGCATTCCAACGGTACATGCTTGCTTTGAGGAAGAAGGCAACATGAAAGGAACCTAAAGATTCAGGGAAAAAAGATTTATCACTCGTAGTATATTTTCACTACTACTACTAGTACAGTCACCCTTGTACAAAGATAGAAACGGTTAGATTTAATCTATGACACTGTACTTTATGCACCGGTATCATTAATTATTATTCATTAGGGACTGTATACTTGGTCCTTGTTCCTCTAATATAATTAAGTTCGATCAGGCATCAGCGACCAATAGAACAACCAAACTATGCAATGCAAACTACTGCCCCTCCTTTCAGAACTGCATGCTACTGTAAAAAAGAATCACTGCGCATGCATGATGAGTGATTCAGGTGGTGTTTAAACTCAGGAGTAAAGTTTAGGGGTGTCACGTCGAGCTGTCACATGGAAGTGTTCGGACAGTAATAATAATAAAAAAATTACAGAAGTCCTCAGTACACTACTGGAGGCCGCGGCTTTGCCGAGTGTTTTTACACTCGGCAAAGAGCCCTTTGCACTCGGCAAAGGCTTTGCCGAGTGTAGCACTTTCGGCAAAGTCCGCTCGGCAAAAATTTTTTCTAAGCAAAGGGTTTTTGCCGAGTGCCTTTATCCGGCACTCGGCAAAATAAAAAAAATTTGCCGAGTACTTAGGGCGTGACACTCGGCAAAATATTTTTCGCCGTTCTTGGCGCCGTGATCCAAACTCGCAAAAGTTATTTTTTTAAAAAAGTGCACGACCCAAAGCACTCGGCAAAAAAGTTATTTTTTAAAAATTACTTTGTCGAGTGCCGTGCCCTTGCACTCGGCAAAGTTTTTTTTATTTTTTAAAAAAAGTTTTTTGCCGAAAGTGCCCCCCTGTTTGGGCACTCGGCAAATAATTTTTGATTTTTAAAAAAAATACTTTTTGCCGAAAGTGTCATGACAAATAATTTTATATATATATATATATATATATATATATATATATATATATATATATATATATATATATATATATATATATATATCACCAACATGCATTATATATCACAGCACACGCATATTTAATAAATCCATCGAAAATCCATCACAAATGCACCAAAGTTCAACATCACAAGTTTATTATTACAAGTTCAACATCACAAAGTTCAATATCCCTATTGCGGCGATGGAGACTGCAGGTGTGGCCCCCCGGACTACGGCGAAGGGTTGACGCGATCAGCCGCCGGTGACATGGTAGCGGGATTGTTTGAACCCGCCGACGGAGGCTGCACAAAAGAGAAGAGATTGCATGTGTTAGACTCAAAATTGAAAATTTCGGCAGCACCTCCCCTGCACGGGGAGGTTTCCAACCTGCAAGAAACAACGACACGAAGACCGACAATCACAACGGCACGAAGGCCGACAATCCCAACGACACAAAGGCCGAAAATCACAACGGCACGAAGGCCGACAATCCCAACAACACGAACGCATTAAACTTTCATACTCACAGGAGTGAGTGTCGAACCGGAGCTAGAGCTGGTAACTGCACTTGGACACCCGATGCTTGCCCGATGGTTTGCATGATCTGATACAAGTCCGCCATCTGCTTCTTCGTGGCCTCTAGCTCTGCGGTCAGGTGCGCTTGCGTCTCCCTTGTCTCTGCCAGCTCGGCCTGCAGTGTTTCAATCACTTGTTTCAGTATTGCAAATCTGATCAATGCGTGTAACGTTCAATATACGACGAGTGAAACCGGAATTACCTGAAGTTCGTCGACCCGCGACAGTGTTGGAGTAGGCCGTGCACGTATGGGAAGGCTTCTGGCCATGCTCCGTGTCCTCACATCGGAGAGAGAGGGTGCAGAGCTCGAGGAGTCGGCGCCGTCTGCAATCCACAACCGCCCGTACTTCCTACCTTGCCCCAGCCTCACGATCACCTCTGTCTCAAGGGGCTCAGTGCTCAGATTGTGATCTGAGCCATGGAGCGCCCTAACCGCCTCCGTGTAGTCTCTGACCTTAGCGTGGACGCTCGGGTCAGAGTAAGCCTAGGCAGTGGCATCCAGGTTGAAGACGACACCGGATTTCACCGGGCCCATGTGGGACACAGCCCATGCCCCAAACTCCGACACCGCACGTCTGGGTGTGCCACCTCCTGCGAGAAAGATGGCAAGATGATTAGAAATCAGGCAAAATTGAGCGTTAGAATAGATAAATGACATCTCGTACAATTGCCCGCTTGAATGCGGGGAGGTTGTGGCTGCCTTGGTGGTGAGTTGGACCGGTCCTCAGTGCCCGCTTCCGCTTGCCTTGCTCATGCTTTACGATGTACGCTGGGTCAAGGTACCTGTCCACAATCCTCGACCATGCCGATCTATGCGACATGCACCACGAGGCCGGCACCTACACATCATCAAGTGTTTGATATATAAGAAGATCAATTCTGGACCTACTAAATCTCAAAATGAATCAATATTATTCACCTACCTGAAGGTACTGCTCCTTGGTCAGCGCCACCTTTCTTGCGCCGGTTTTGTTGAGGGGCTCTTTCTTGATGGACCTGTAGTAGTCGACGTGGGCCTGGAGTCGCGCCTCGTGAATCATGTCGCCGACGTACTTCTTACAGGCTCTGTGTGCCATCTGATCCGCCAGGGTCTCTCAACCTTCTTCGGCCTTGAAGTACCTCTGCATACAAACACGATGTATCCGTTCATTATTTCAATAAAAGACTTAACTAATGGAGGAGATGTATTGAGCTATGTTGTGAGACACTTACCCAAAAGTCCACCAAAACCCGCTCCTGCTTGTTGTCCTGCTCGTCATCCGAGCCAAGCTTGTACCTGTCCCACGACCAGGCCGGCTCCCACCTCCCCTCTTTCAAGTCCACAAGGCCGGGGAAGTGTTTCCTGCACAGACATCCCAGGACGGTAGCGGGGGTGCACGGGGGGTCAAGAGCACCCGACAGAACTAGCCAGCCCCTGCATAAGTGATTAAGAAAAATTATCAGTTTCTCTTTTGATTTTCAACGTATCATATGAAGTACTAGTGATAACATCTATAGTTACTTACCTTCTTCCCACAGGATGAACCAGTGGGCGTCGGTCAGGAAGCAGAACTGGAGGAAGGCTTGTGGGACCTCACAGGTAGGGAGCCGACTGAGCAGAACTGTCCTTCGTCTGCTGAGTCCCCTCGTCCCCCAATGGAGTGTTTGTGGTCGTGCCTGTGGCCACCACGTGGTCCTCCGGGGTAGGAGACGGGTCCTCCGACTGGTCGAGAGCCGAGGGAGGAGGCGGGTCCCTCCTAGGGCGACCCTAGCCCCTTCCCCTCCCCCTCCCCCTCCCCCTCCCCGTGCTAGGGCGACCCGGGCCTGCTCCCACCGCCGGGGGCGAAGACATCCCCTCACCTCCATCAGGAGGGCGTAGCCTCTGGTACACTGAGAGCACCTGCCTCGGTGAACGGTTGCCCACCATCTTTGTTCTGTCACCTGCAATGTACAAAGAATGAACAACAAGCGTTAGTACATACATGTCAAATAGTTCAAAATGAATAAACATAACAAA